AAAAAGCAAAACCTGGTTAAAAATCTCCTTTTTTTTTTTTTTTTTTTTTTTTAACACATCAATTTGCTCCCCGATGTTAACGAAGCTCCCTCCCAGTTAATTCTCCAGAGGCCCTGGGGTGGAAACTCATTAATTTGTCACCACCCAAATCCCAGCAGGAATAACAGGGCCAATTTCTGGGCTTTTCCCCCCCAGTCCCCAGCGGAGCTCCCGGTGCAGCGGCAGGGACGTGGTGGAACCTCCTTCCCCAGGGATGGGGATGGGGATGGCGGTGCCCGGGCGGCACAGGACGGGGATGGGGGAGGAAAATTAATTAGCTTAATTGCGCTTGAAGGCCTGACTGGGTTCTGTTCCTCAGGGATTCCCGCTGGAATGCTCCCGGGCTCTCCTGGAGCCCAGCTCCGCCGCGCTGCTCCCTTCCTCACGGGATGAAGGCTGGGACGAGCCGTGCTGGCTCCCTCTGCTCTGCCCCACGGTCCCTGCGCTCAATCCCCCCTGATTCTGTGGGGAGAAGCTCTGGGGTCTCCTCAGAACTCGCTCCTGGGACCATGGGGAGGAGGCAGCACGTCCCAGGGATTCCAGCTGAAATCCCAACCGCGGCCGCTGGGATGGTGGGAATGTTCTCCGCAATTCCCCCTTATCTCAGCCGGGCTCACACCAGCCTTGCCAGCAGGTCAGTGCCACCTCTCCCCTCTGTCCCTTTGTCCCTCTGGGGACAGCAGCTCTTTCCCAGCACTGCCAGCTGTTTTCCTAATTAGCTGATCCCACTAATGAGGCTGGAGAAGCTCGATCCAGGCCTGGAGTTGTGTGGTTCATTTGCAGGTTCAGAGCGATCTCCCTGTCAAGGGCCCTCGCTCCGGGTTCACATCCCAACATCACGTCCTCGTTCCTTTCAGGAGTTTGGGGGCATGGAAAGGAACAGGACTGAAGTGGCTCTGGCTCAGGGATAGGTCTGATTGAGCTTTAATTAATCTGCTCCTTGTTTATCCCTCCCGTGGCAGCGCTGAGGGTCTGAGGAGCCCTTCTGGCTCTGCCGTGCCCAGCTGAGACTGCCGAGCTCCTCCTGCCCTGAGGGGTGGGGTGGGGTGGGATGGGATGGGATGGGATGGGATGGGATGGGATGGGATGGGATGGGATGGGATGGGATGGGATGGGATCTATGGGATGGGATGGGATCTATGGGATGGGATGGGATGGGATGGGATGGGGTGAGCATGAGCATTGGAATGGGTTGGGGATGAGGTCGGATAGGATGGGATGAGATGGGGATGGGAATGAGGAAGGGGGTGGGATTAGGATGAAGATGAGAATGGGAGGAGGATGAGTGTTGGGATGTGCTGGGATGGGGGTAGAACAGAGTGAGATGGGAATGAGGATGAGCATAAAATGAGGATTGGGATGGGCGTGACATAGGGATAGGGATAGAGGTGGGATGAGGATGGGGACAGGGTTGGAAATGGGATGGGATGAAATGGGGATGAGGGTGGGATGGGGATTCCTCAGAGAGTGGGGAGGGGGAGGGATGGGATGCGAATGGAGATAGGATTGGGATGGAATTGGAGATGGGATGGGGATGTCCCAAAGCCATGGAACAGCTGTCAGGGATGAGGAAACCTTCTGTCTGGGGATGGTACAAACCTGTGCTGGCTGCTCTCAAATCCCCCAGGACAGCCTGAGGGGGCTGGGAGAGGGATTGGCACCACGGCGCCCTCCGGACACTCCCATCCCTGCCCCGGGCACCGGGAAGGGACGTGGGCGCCCCGGGGGTGTCGTTGTGACATTTTAAAGTCACTGGCACCGAGCCCTCAGAGGCGCTGGAAGCATCAATCTCCCGGGGCCGCGCTGTCAGGTGGGTATTTAGTGGAATGTTTCCTAAATGAACGCTTGATGGGAGAAGAGGGATGGCTGCAATGTTCCGAGCCACAAGGTTATCGCGGCCGCCGGCTGCCAGCTCCCGGAGCCCGCTGGAAACCCGGGAAGGGCAGCGGGGGGAGCCCCGGGGGGCGTCAGGAGCCTCCTCCCACACCTGGGAGCGAATCCCAAATCCCACCTGTAACGGGGAACGCCGGGCACAGCTGCAGGGGGATGGGAAAAGCTCGGAAAGCTCCGCTGAATTTGGGATCTGAAGGGAGAAAATAGCCCTGCCAAGGGAGGAGGCAGAATTCTGCTTAGAGGGAATTTTTCTGTATGGCAAAACGGCAAGAATCGAGATGAGCCTGTTCTTAGCGCCCCTGCCAGGGGATGCAGCCCGGGATGCTGAGGGCAGCGGTGACTCCGCGTGCTCCTGCCAGGAGATGGAGCAAGGAACAACTCGCAGAGAGCTCAGGCAAAGACCCTCGAGCTCATTAACAGCATCAGCCGCTGTTTTGGCCAGCGCGGCCTGCCCAGGGAGGAGCGCCGGAGCTCAGGGAGGGATGTGGCAGCTCCTGGAGGGATTTTGGCTCTGGGACACCGGGCCCGGCTCTGCTCCCATCCCGCTGCTGCTGCAGAGCAACATCAGCTCCATCTCTCCAGGTCGCTGTGCCCCGTGTCAGTGGGATGCCCTGTGATGCCAGAATCCGGTGGTGGCACCCAGTGCCAGGATGGCCAGAGAGGGGCAGCAGGCACATCCCGCAGGGCTGTCACCATCCCCGGTGTCCCAGAAGGTGATGGCAGCGGGACTCCGGCATTCCTGCTCCAGATCTGACCCCAGGGCAGGGATGGCAGCCCCTGCCTGGTCCTGCTGCCTGCCACGATTCCATCACACCTCGCCCAAAACTCCACACTCGGCTCCAGGGATTCACCCTCTGCTTTCCATCAGCTGGAGCAGCTCCACATCCCCTGGATTCCACAACACCCGTGTTTGTCTGCCCGGGCTGAGGGGCAGCTCTGCTCCCAGCCAGGGGTCCGGATCTCCTGCAAAATAAATCCCTGATGGGCCTGGCCAAACAGGCGGAGCCCTGAGAGCCTGGAGCCAGCGAGGGGGATGAGAGGGATGGGAATGGATGGATGGATGGATGGATGGATGGATGATGGATGGATGGATGGATGGATGGATGAGGGATGGATGGATGATGGATGATGGATGGATGGATGGATGGATGATGGATGATGGATGGATGGATGGATGATGGATGGATGGATGGATGGATGATGGATGATGGATGGATGATGGATGATGGATGGATGGATGGATGGATGGATGATGGATGGATGATGGATGGATCGATGGATGGATGATGGATGGATGATGGAGGGATGATGGGTGGATGATGGATGGATGATGGATGGATGGATGGATGGATGATGGATGGATGGATGATGGATGGATGGATGATGGATGGATGATGGATGGATGGATGGATGATGGATGGATGATGGATGGATGATGGATGGATGATGGATGGATGGATGGATGGATGGGGATGGATGGATGATGGATGATGGATGGATGGATGATGGGTGGATGGATGGATGGATGGGGATGGGAGGGGATGGTGGGGACAGCACCAGGCTGGCAGTCGAGGGGGAATGAGGTCTCCATGCCCTCAGGAAAAGAGCAGGATCCAGCTGGCTGTGACCCCGGGAACAGCGTTTTACATTTTCACCTGCCTGGAGCACTGGGTGCCCTGAGCACCCCAAGGTGCCTGTGGGCAGGGTTGGGGTGTCCCATGGGCTGCTCCCCCAATTCCCACTGGGATGTGGGTGGGCAGAGTGTGATCCTGCAGAGCTGCCTGCAGCCCTGGGGTGCCCCATCCCCCCGGCTGCAGCCTGTCCCTGTGGTGGCCCATGGCCGGGTACCACGGTGCCACTCTGTGCCCTCGTGCTCACACCCTCCCTCATGCACACACCCCCAACACGTGCAGGAGCCCCCCAGCCTTGCCTGGGGCTTTGCTGGTGTCCCCCTGTCCCCACAGGTACATGGCAAAGGCTTTTTGGTGGTTTCTTTTCCTTGAGCAAAGGCAGCTCACACCAACCCACGGCTGCAGCTCCTGTTGAGTTCAGTTTGCTAAAAAGGGAAAAAAATCAGAGTGAAGCTTCCTTTGCCAGGAGAGAAATGGTCTGGGATGTGCCAGAGAGGGCAGGCAGGGAGATGGCACCGGGCTGGGAGTGTGAGAGGCAACACTGGGGTGTGCAAAACTCTGAGAGTGCAGGGCTGGGAGTGTGCAGGGCTTTGTGCAGAGCCCCTGGAGCAACAGGGACCCCCGAGCCAGAGGGGGATCCATGCTGGATCCATCCCTACAAATCCATCCCATCCCATCCCATCCCATCCCATCCCATCCCATCCCATCCCATCCCATCCCATCCCATCCCATCCCATCCCATCCCATCCCATCCCATCCCATCCCATCCCATCCCATCCCATCCCATCCCAGTGCATTCCCAGTTTATTCCAGGCCCTGCTGCCCTGCCCTGTGCAGGATGAAGCCCCTCTGGATTCATTTCAGGATGCAGGCGGTGCAGGTGACACACCAGTTGAATTCCTGTCACTAGAGGCCCTGTGGGAAATCAGGTCACCCTCCACATCCCTCACCGGCTGCCTTCAGCCTCTCCAAAATTCCCGTGGGTATCCCACCGGCATCCCTCTGCCAAAATAAACCCCATCCCACCCTTCAGCCCTGCTTAAAACAACAAAAACGGGAAGAAATCTCCCAGCCAGCCGCGGGGCGAGCTGTGCTCAGAGCTCCGTGCCCGTGCCGGGAATTCCTGCCGGGGAACGGAGGAGAAGCGCCCATGGCCGATCCCGGCGGGACCGGGAACAGCCCCGGGGGCCGCGGCTCGCTGGGCTGGGCCGCTTTCATCCGCGATTCATTATAAATTGAGGTCAATGCAGCACATCCTTTATTTATTGCAGACAGGAGGGGATGAGGAAGCATCAGGGATGGCAAACACCAGCACCCCAAAGCCCTTTTCCCTCCGGGAGGGATCCCAGCGCTGCAGCCGCGCCCCCCGTTAATCCCGGCACCGCCGGGCTCCGAGCAGCTTTTCCCATCATAAAAAACAAGCCAAGAAGCCTCAGCTCCCCTCCTAGTGCTGTGAATTTTTATTAAAACGGAAGAAAACAGTTATTCCTTCGGAGTACAACAGTTCAGGGAATGGGAAAGCGGCTGTGCCAGGCCACAGCCATCCGAGCCGCACCCAGGGTTTAAATAAACAGGGATGGGACGGGCTTGACTCCACTCTGAGCCTCCGGTGGGGCTGTGGGTGGGGTGGGGCTGTGGGAAGGAGGATCAGGGGGGTCCTGAGGGCATGGGAGGGGTCCCCGGGGCAGCACCGGCTCTGCTGCTGGAAGAGGATTCCACCCGGGAGGGGCACAGGGCTTGCGATGGACACGGCAAGGGAAGGTCACGGCATCCCTGTTCAGAGCAAAGGCACCCGCGATGGGACGGGCAGGAGCAGGCAGCCCCGGGCCCAGCCCGGGACAGCGGCATTCCCGGCGGGCTCCGAGCGGCTGGGATGCCCCGGGAGCCAGGGAAAGCCAGCCCGGAGCCCCTGGATCCCTCCAGCCCGAAGCTGCCCGGCTTGGTCACAGTTTGCAGGAACAGTACGGTTTCATTTGGTTGGCACTAGCTGTTCTCCCAGGGAGGAGGAGGAGGAGGAGGAGGAGCCCTTCCTCCCACCTCCTCTCCCCAGGGCAGCAGCCCAGGATCCCCCCAGCCCCGGGTCCTTGTCCTCCCGCTCCCGGCTCCCCTCCCACCCCCGCGGGCTCCGGGAGAGGCAGCGCGGCGTTCCTGATTTACAGCACTCCACTGGAACATGCTCGGGATCCTAATGGAGCTCCCGGCTCCAGGGCCGGCCCGTGGGACTGCAGACTGGCACACCGAGCTCCAGAGCCACGGGAGAGGGTGACAGCCCCTCCCGGGACACCCTCGGGCACACTCCTCTGCTGGGAGTGGGAAGGCACGGCCACAGCCCCGGCCCTGGCTCCAGGGAAACGCCTGGAGGGCCGAGCCTGGAAGCAATGCTAGAAAAATAAAGAAAAAAAAAGCTGGAAAACCCAGGAAAACAAAGTGTCAGGAGGAGGATGAACGGCTGCTAAGCTCGAGAACATCACACAGTCCGTGGGCAGCCGGCCCGAGTCCGTGGGTGTGCAGAGGCCGGAGCAGCGGGCGGGTCCGGGGTGATCCCTGGAGCCCCGGGACAGGCTCCGGCCGGGCAGAGCCGTGGGAAGCAGCAGCGGCGCGGAGCAGGTGTTTCCTAGAGCTCCTCGAAGAAGGCCACACGGGACTTGGTGCTTTGTAGGGTGAGCTGGAAGAGAGCAGAGAGGGATGAGGCACAGGGCACCTCCAGGAGGGAGCTCCTGCCTCCATCCCTCCTAAACCACCAGGGGATGTCAAAGCCCAGCCAGGGGTGCGGAAGCCGGGGGTCGTGCAGCCCCACCACAGCAAGCACAGCCCGAGGCAAAGCAGGGGCAGAGACTTCATCCAGGTCACTGGCATGGCTGAGGCTTCCAGGACTGGAATACGTGGGAGACTGGATCCAGGGAGCCAGTCCTGGGGCCCTGATGAGGAGGACATAAAGGGAAGCTGGAGGAGAAGCACCTCAGCGAGCTGATGGAGAACCACAACTCCGAGAGCCACCGGACAGTGTCCCCTGTGTCACCAAACCCTGTGTCACCAAACGGAGCCCACCCTCGCCATGCTCACATCCAGCCCATCCCACCACGTGGGATCCATGCAGCTGCCCCGGGATCTCATCTCATCTCATCCCACCCCCTCCATCCCTTCTGCCCAGGACAGAGCTGAGAGCCCTCACTCCCAGGACAGTCCCTGCAGGACTCAGAAACCCTTGGAAAGCTTTCCACAGCCATCCCCAAAGTTATACCCCACGGAGGAGCCCACTTGCTAATGGCAAAGAAGATAAATCCCCAGTGGTGGAGAAGAAATCCCAGGATTTAGAGGCAGCCACCCAACGGAGTGCAGCAGCACAAGTGCCACTTCCAGCCAGCTGCTGGGTCACCGGGACTTTGCCAAAGCATGGACTGATTGCCAGGGCTTCCTTTCAGCTGGATTAAGCACCGTGCCTTCCTGGGAATGCTGCTTTTGCTGAAACAGGAACTCTGGGATCACCTCACAGTGAGTTAAGCCCCTCAACAGAGCCATCAGGTGCTTTCCCCCTCCCTGCTTCTCCCCCATGGCTTTTCCTCAGTAATTCCATCTCAGCTCTAATGTCGGTCAGAAAAAAAAAAAATCTGTATTGCAGAGGAAATTTCTACAGGGGCTTAATAATCTTCCTTGGCAGCAGCTGCCAGGCCAGGGCTGGCTCTCCTCCTCTTCAGCATCCCCCTGGCTGCTGCAGTGTCCCCTCCAGAGCTGCTGGAAGGTGGGTGAGGTGGGACAGGGATTCTGTGTGATACAGGCAGCAATTTTCCTCTCTAAGGCTGGAGAGGGAAAAAAATGGAGCAGAGGGTCCCAGGCTGCTGCCAGACCCACTGCTGGGGCCATCTGACAAGAAGCCCCATTCCTGGAAGTGTTTCAGTGCCTAAAGGAGCCCAAAACAGCTGGAGAATGACTTGGGAGAAGGCCTGGAGCAACAGGGTAAGGGGGAATCCCATCCATCCCACTGCCAGAGGGCAGGGATGGATGGGACATTGGGAGGAATTGTTCCCTGGGAGGGTGGGGAGGCCCTGGCACAGGGTGCCCAGAGCAGCTGTGGCTGCCCCTGGATCCTTGGAAGGGTCCAAGACCAGGATGAATGGGGCTTGGAGCAGCCTGGGACAGTGGAAGGTGTCCCTGCCCACAGCAGGGGGTGGAATGAGATGAGCTTCAGGGACCCTCCCAACACAAACCATTAATGGTTCCATTATCTACCTGCCATCCATCTCCTTCCCAAGGCTGTGCCTCCAAATCCATCCCTTCTGCAGCCTGGCAGGGGAGCCAGAGCCCCCCAGCCCTCCCAGCCCACAGGAGGGGCTCCCTGCAGGATCACCCTGGCAAAGCTGCAGCAGCTGATGGGGCACAGGGAAGATGCTTCCCCAGGCTGACCAAGGAATCCCACTGTTTCAAGCCTGCCTCTCTGCCTGCAGCTACACACAGCTCTCCCACGGGTCTTGGGGGTCCTGGGGTACCCCGAGGGTGGCCTGAGCTCAAAGCTGTGCCTGCCTCAGCCCAGAGATTTGGGGAGCAGGTGGAGGCAGAGCTCTGGCAGAGCTCCAGAGCATCCAGCACAGGCACAGGGAGAAGGGAGAGCCCTGCTCCTTTGCTGGATGCTTTTATCCACAACATCCAAATGCTCCTAGAGAGGCTCAGTGGTACCCATTTTACATATCCAGGGAATCTGAGGCACGGGGAGAGCAGCCATATAGGGAGTCAGAGCAAAGCTGGCACCTGAGGAGACGGGATCCCATGGAGAGGAGTGAGCACAGACTTCCCAAGAGGGCCATGCCCTGCAGGTCACTGGCTCCCAGCAGCGGCCAGATTTTGCTACCTGGAAGGCAAACACCACAGGGATTCCTCCCTGGGAGGGTGGGCAGCCCTGGCACAGGTGCCCAGAGCAGCTGTGGCTGCCCCTGGATCCCTGGCAGTGCCCAAGGCCAGGCTGGATGGGTCTTGGAGCAGCCTGGGATGGTGGGAGGTGTCCCTGCCCGTGGCAGGGGTGGCACTGGACGGGCTTTAAGGTCCTCTGCAATGGGGACCAGGAGCAGGATTGGGGCTGCCCAGCAGCTCCAGGCAGCTGTCTCCTCATATCCGACCGCAGCCAGGCTCCAGAACCACCCGAGAGGAAATCAGGGCAGTTCTCACTGCACCCTGACACTCCACTGCCAGGGGGGAAACTCTCTTCTCCCTTTTTCCTTCTTTTGCTGTTGTTTGCCTCACTGTGGAGCACAGGCAGGGCTATCCTGGCTCCCACTGGGAGCACCACAGGGACCTGATCATCCCAGCGGGCACCTTGAGGGCTGTGGAAGCCGGTGGGCACAGGGAGCTCTCTGCAGGGAAATCCCATTCCCTCAACTGGTTTTCATTTCTTTTCTGTGAAAGCAAAGGGAAGAGCACCACCCTGTGCTGGCCTTTCCATCATCTGTTGGGGGGAAAGCCTCCAACACCTCCAAAATCTCTCCGCAGTCTCCGCATCCCCTTCTCCTGGTCAGGCGAGGAGAAATAAATATCCCTCCCCGTAGCGTAACGCTGCGCAGGGTGATTAAGAGGGAGTTACATCCTCGTCAGTGCGGAGAAAAGGAAAAAAAAAATTGATTTACAAGCAGTATTATGATAATCTCCTTCCTGCAGGAGGGAGGGTGGGCTCCCGATGCTCTACCAGAGCCATCAAGGAAAATTTAGAGGGAGAGAGAGGCAGCGCAATTAAGCGGCCTGAGCTCGAAATGAATCAGGATCTCAGGAAGGGAAGAGAGGGAAGAGTCCTGCTCCCTGCATTCCTGCAATGGGGCTCCTCTGAGCCTGCTGCTACCCAGGGCTGCCGGACTGATTTGATTTAGGAAACACAAACAAACCAGAGCAACCCAGCAAGTGCCTGGCAGGCACAGGAGCAGGTAACCCAATAACTGCAGGCACAGCAGTGCTGAGGCTGGGTAAACCCAGTCCAGGGAAACCCCCCAAGGACCAGTGAGCCCCCAGAGTGGGGCCATCCCCATGCAACAGGGAGGGGAAGGGGCTGCAACTCACACCAATCTGCCTCCAGACCTCTCCCAGCAGGGAGAGGTTTAAGATGTCTCATTTTCTTGCTGTTTCCTTGTTTATCCTGCAGTATGGCCGGGCTGGAAGAGAGGGGGATCTGTGCCACCCTCACCCTGTGTGATGCCAAGATGCTTTCCTGCTGCTGGGAAGATCTACAGTCCTTGCTAATCACCAGCCAGTGCTCCACACACTAAATCCTCTTTATTCCCCACTTGCTGCCCTGGTGCCTTTCTCCATCCCTGCTCACTCCCCAGTCCCACTGGCCAGGTGGAACTCTCAATTCCCACTGTGTTACTTTTGAACCCAAAGCCTATTTTCCTGTGATTCTTCCCATTTCCCTCCCTGCTCCTCTCTCCCTCCCACGCTGTCTTTATTCTCTGCCGAGCACAACTGTCCCCCAGCCCCCGACGCTTTGATGAGCCCATTTGAAAGGAGAAGATGACGCTCCATGTGAAGGAAACGCTTTTCAAAGGCTGCCACAGAAATAGCTGATAGGCCTGACGTTTCCTACTTTCCTCTTGCTCCTTGTAAACAAGGAAAAGAGGCTGCCGTGTCCCAGTTTAACTGCCTGGGAGTTTCACTTCCCAGCTCTGAGGAGAACCGGGAAGAAAATGAACCTGGAAGGGATGTGGTCTGTCACACGTGGGGGTGTGTGGGCAAGATCCACGTGGGATGAGCCTCTGTGTCCTTCTGCACTAGGAAAATGTGCTCCCAGAGCTGCTCTGCCCACTGGGTGTCTCCTGGCTCCCACCTGCACCCCAGCCAGGTGCCAGGCTGAGTGAGAAGCTGGCAGCCTCACTCATCTTTTCCAACTTCACAGCTCCCAAGGAAATGGGAAATGCTGCTGTTCCTGGGAAGTCCCTTGCTGGTGGTGTGCCCGTTCTGCCTTCCCTTTCCAGCTGGGATTGGGTTCTACAGCCCTGCAGGAGACTGAGGAGCACCTCATCCCTGTCCCAAGACCCACAGGGAAGGATGGCAGCTCAGCCTGCTCTGTCCCACCCAGGCTCCCTCCTTTTGTCCTTCCCAGAGCATTCCTTGTGCTGGTCTCTTCTGTCTGGAAGGGGCACATCCTCCTCCCAACAACCTACTAGAGCAAACCAGACCTGTTCCAGGGAATCTGCAGTTCAAGAAGGGGAGAGATGAGGAAGGGAGTCCTCAGGAGGTGATAGTGACCCCACAGGAATTGTGAAGTCCTCAAGGGACACATTTCAGTGATTCCTAGCACACTGCTCTCCCAGTGCAGGTAGAAAATAGAGAAAGCATCTGCCCCAGCGCCAGCCTCCCAAAATCCTTCCACCTGTCCAGATGATGAAGGAGCCTCGTGACATTTGGGGGTGGCACATCCCGTCTGCATGATGAGACACTCAGGCAGCAGTGCCATCACCAGCCACCAGTGTCCTCACAAGGACAGACAACAGCCTGTCCCAAAGGTGGCAGGAGGGAGGACAAGGCTGCAGAAGCCCCTCTGGCTCTGCCCCATCTGTGCTTCCAGCTGGGAACTGTCCATTGGCTAAATCCAAAAGGGACCTTAAAACTCATCCTGTTCCACCCCCTGCTACAGTCAGGGACACCTTCCACTGTCCCAGGCTGCTCCAAGCCCCTGTGTCCAACCTGGCCTTGGGCACTGCCAGGGATCCAGGGGCACCACAGCTGCTCTGGGCACCTGTGCCAGGGCCTGCCCACCCTCACAGACAGGAATTCCTTCCCAATATCCCATCCATCCCTTTGGCACTGGGAAGCCATTCCCTGTGTCCTGTCCTCCATCCCTTGTCCCAAGTACCTCTCCAGCTCTCTTTTAGGCACTGGCAGGGGCTCTAAGGTTTCCCTGGAGCCTTCTCTTCTCCAGCCTGAACACCCCCAGCTCAGATCTCAAGGCATCTCCACAATGAACATTATCCAAGCCAAGGGACACACTGCACTGTGTCCAGGATCAGAGCCAGGAAAGCAGCCAGCAGGATCCCCCTGGGCACCAAAAGTGATCCCCTGGGATAGAGCTCAAGGCACAGAGAAGCTGCTCTCAGCCACGTGAGAGCCTGGCAGGAGAGGCTAAGGCTGCCTGTGGAAGGACCAGAGGCTCAACGACAAAGCTGCTTGTCTGGGAACAGGCGTGGAGATTTGCTCCTTGCCTGGATACTTCAAAGGGCTTAAATCCCAGTAAATAAGCATGACTGTGCAAGAAGAAAGCAACTGGAATCAAAGACCTGATTGTGTTTTAGCAGCCTGTCCTGGGAGCTTTCCTGCAGCGGAGGAGATGAGGAAGAAGTGGGTTTTCACCCTCTACCACAGACTAAGTGACAAACCCTCCTGAATCAGAGCCAGCTGGAGCCACAGCACCAGCCCACGGCAGGGAGCTACGGAGAAGGGAGAGCAGCTTCCAGATGAGGTGTCTGTGCTGTGCCCACAGAGCTCATAAAAAGGGATTAGCATGTTAACCACGTAATTAAACATGAAAAACTTAGCAGGCGCCTTCAAAGGCAGGCACCAAACCCCAGAGGTCACACTGCAGCTGCTTTAATTATGGGGGCTCCTCCTGGGCACTGGAGCTCTCCCAGCTGCTGGAAGAGTCTTCCCACAAACAGCTAGGACTTCATTTCACCTCCCTGTGCTGTGGCCACAAGTGGATTTCACCCCAGATTTACCTGCCATGGAGCTCTTCAAGCCAGGTGGGATGGGATAATATACCCAGCACCTCCCCCAAGGGAGCCCAGACCTGCAGGGTCACCCCTTTTAGCCTCTTCCCCATGGAACTGTTTAACAATGAGAGTGGCCCGTTTTGGGGAACACCTGCAGCTCCCCACAGCTGGCACAAACCCCAAATTCCAGGAATTTACAGCCCCTGGAATGGCTGGTGCAGTGAAGAATAGCACAGCCTTGTGCTGAGCTCTCCTGGGTAAAATCTGCCTCTGCTCCCGAGCTCCAGAGGTGCTGTGGAATTGCTCTGTCTTTTCCAAAAGCATTTCCCATCTGCTCTGCCACCTGTGAGTGTGGCATCCCAGTACTTCCCTGAGTGCCACTGACTCCAAACTCCCAAAACCCTGTGGTTCTGCAAGAACTTCACCCCAGGGCAGAACAGGAAAGCTTCTCCAAACTCATCCTCCCAAAGGAGGGAGTGGATGCTCAGCACATACAGCCTGCGGATTGAGGGCAAATCCTTGGAGGACAGCAGGCTCCAGGAATAAGAGATGTGGCATTAACAGAGCAAGACCCTTGGGCAGGAGGAGGTGAGGGACAGGCAGGGGCAGTGCAGGGAGAAGGACATCCCCTGCCACAAGAGCCACCTGCAGACACCAGCTGTCCTCAATCCTCTGCTTTACCTTCCTGGGATGCTTCTCAAACAGGCAGAGCACCCTCAGCTCGTGGAGCTGCGCATTTTTAGCCCATTTTGACAGTGCTGGCAGCAGAGATGAGGGGGTTTGGCTGTTTGTTTGGGGTATTTTTTCTTACATCCTGAATTTCTCTCTGCAACAAACAAGGGGGGAAGGTGATGGTTTACTTCATTAAAGGAATCTTCAAAGGCTGCCCTGCACCTCCGATAAGATTCTCAACCACAGGTGCAAAAAACAGGCGTGCTGAATTATTTAAGTGCCTCCACCTGAACTCCCCCTCTGAGGTTGCCAACACAACTTCTGCCAAGAAAGCAGCTTCCCAGCGTGGAGGATCAGGTGTAGGAACAAATGCAGAGAGGCTGGGAGTGCTCCTGAGGGAGGGAGAGCCAGGCTGGACGGGTGACCGCGGGCAGCCGGTCCCGCTGCAGTGCAGGCAAGCTCATGCACGGGTTAGTGCCACAGCCAGATCCCAGCACCCCCACGCAGAGTACCTTGGAACAACCTACTTGGAATTCTCAAATGCAGATTGGTCTTCTGCCCTGGGCTTGAGGCTAAACCAGCAAAATAAAATGAACAACAAATAATAATAATAATCCCGGTGTGTGATACAAGGGCAGGTGATCTGTGGGATCTTAGGGCTTGCCTGGAGCAATCAGCAGCTTCCAGGTGAGGCAGAGGGTTGGTGCCATTGAAGTATTGCTGGACTGATATCCCATTCCCAGTGCCCTATGTTTCCTTGCCTTCACCACAGCAAAGACAAAAGCCCTGCTGACCTCCCTGAGCAGAGCAGGCTGTAATTTCCCTCTGATGTCTCCACTAATAGTCTATTATTTGGGAACCTTTGGTCCGTGCTGAGATGCAGCAGCCCCCACTCCCTCCGGAAGGGAGGGGACAGGACAAGATTCCATCTTCAAAGGGAGGCAGACTGAAGGCACTGTGACAAGCCCTGACAGACACGGTAATGATGGCCCAGCCACCCTCTTTAAGGAAGACAAATGGGACCAACAGCTCTCTATGAACTCCTCTCTGTCAGAAGTGAAAACTTAGCAGTTTCTGTTTAAACCAAGGACTTGGAACACAAAGACAAATCCTTCCAAAACCTACTGGGAGCAGAAACGCCTCCAGATTCTACAATGACAAAAGGGGTTGTGAAGATTTTTATTTTCTCTGCTCTAGTGTGACAGGAACCTGAATAGCTCCGGGCCAGCACAGGAAAACTAGCAAGTGAGCCCCACTAGATTAATTTTCCTGCCCCAATTCAGTGATCACAAACTCCCAGCCATGAAAGTCGGCAAGAACTGGTATTTCCAAATCCTTTCAGACACTACTTCTGTCTAGGAGTAGTAAAGAGAGCAGAATTTGTTTTTCAAGCCTGGAGTTGTTACCACGGCCTGCATCCCGTGCTGTACGGATTTCCAAATCCTTCCCGAGGACAGCTGCTAGCAGAAAGCCAGCCAGGAAAAAGCCTTTGCAGGGAAAAAAGCCTTTGCAGGTGAGTGGGGCTGACCACCACCATCCAAATCCATCGTGGATGTGCCCCCAGCCCCTCGCTACAGAGCCCAGCACTGAGGCAAAGGAAGAAGGTGGGATGTAGAAAAATAAAGGAGGGGTTTTGTTGTGAGCTTTCAGGTGACCCCCAGGCCAGCAGACCCAGGCAGCCTCAATTTTTGGCTGAAGTTCCTCATGTCAGCCCCACTGCAGGAGGCAGGCGGCTCTAGGGAGCAGAGGTCTCATCCCCCCTGCCAGCAAAGGCTTTGCTGTTAGTGACTGAAGCTGCACTACAGGTTTCTCTAGAGAGATTAAAAGAGAAGAGCTTTTGGCTTTTTCCACTGAGAGCTCCTAAGCCAGGAGTATTTCTGCCCTCATTATTCACCAGACAAGCTCAGTGCTCGTAGGGAACAGCTGCAATAGGCAGGGAGGGCTTTTCCTGTTCTCTGGGGATGCAGAGCCCTTCCAACAACATCCTTAGACAGATTTTAAGGTTCAGAAAGACCTCCAGCCCTGGAGACATCCCTCACCACAGCACTGGAGAGACCAGGCTGGGACAGGACACCAGGACCACCAGAAGCTGGAATCCTCCAATCAAAGCTAAGCAGCTGGGGAAGAAAGCCTAGATTCAACAATTTTATTATCAAAAGCAGGGTGATTTTAGGGTCCTTTTAAAAGGGTTTCATCAGGGGAGATACAAACTGGGGCCTTCTGATACCTTTTTAATAGTGTTGTGCTTGCTGTTGCCCCGGCTGGAGTTCTCATTGTGCAAAATATCCAGAGCTGTCTCTCTCTCCTTGAGCTTCAGTGCTTCAATTTCTGTCTTCAGCTCATTGAGCTGCTCCTGCAGGTGCTTGCTCCTCTCCATGTACTCCACCCTAACACACACACAGAACAGTCCTGGGTTAGCACTGACCAGCTGCACATGCTGATGTGACACCTGATAACAGAATTATAACAGAAACAGCTTTTCTTCATTATTTTTAGTGTGTGGAACTGATAATATCAGTTTATAGCACACAGTGAGCTACTCAGAGCAATTATTTGTTCCTTATTAAAGGGGACCCAGACAGCCAACCCAGCAATAAAAGTGTAAGTTATATTATTATTATTACACAAAATTAAACCCAAGCTGGGTGGTATTTTAAGTCTCCCAATTTGCAAGTGAAGCTGACAAAGGTTTACACCACACAGTGGTTTAAGCAGCTACTCAGTAGGGCTCTACACCCCTGCACCCCCTCCCAAACCTGCTCCACAACCCAAATCCACAAATCTTTCCATGAGGAAGGACCCTGATGTACTGACTTGTCATGTTTTAGAGAGATTTAGCTTGTAAACTGTGTGGAAGCAAGTGCTGTCCCCAAAATATCATGTATCTTGTACATACAGAGCATTCCTGAGAGAGAGAAAGTCTCCCAAAAAAAAAAAAAAAAAAAAAAAAAAAAAAAAAAAAGGGAAAGAAAGGGAAAAAACCAACCCCCAAACCCCCAAAGCCAGCCATTCCCAGGACTTGCCCTGAACTGCCTTCCACAATGAAAAATCAACTGGGAAAATCACCCCATGAGCTTTGTACCTGTGATTAACCCCCTGAGACAGGTCAGAGGAATGGCAGGGTAATAGGAACCCTTTCCAGCGCCAAAATTTGTAAAGAGGTTTATCCCAGCACCCGAGGAAAGAGAACAGCCCCAGAAAAGACAGGAAAAGCATCCTATTGCTTTCAGCATTTGGCAGAGGCAGCTCTCCCTGCTCAGGAGAGCAGGATGACCTAGATAGCAACCTGGGTACAGAACCAGGAATTATCCTGTTATTTTCAGCTTCTATCTTTTTCCTTCTGGCTCTGGGAAAAGTTTTTAGAAGTTCTTAATCTCCTGTCTCTAGGTCTGTGGTTTCATACTCGGGAGAGGGCACTGAGCAGAGGCAAACCAAAGCAGCCTCTGGGATCCAAGGGTGTGTCATTACAGCCTCAGGAAGTTTTGGCCGATGACAGAGCCATTGTGGCTTTGATCGACGACCCAATCGATGAACAAAGCACATCATTATCACAGAGATTAAAATCTGATCTGCTTTGATTTCTGCTCAATTGGTAATTTCGAAGGCTACACTTACACCCTCAGGAAAACACAAGATCAAAGCTCATAATCACATCCAAACTTGCTGGCGAACACTTTTCATCCAGGAACGTGACACAAATTCCAAGGAAAAGGGGTTAAAGCCCTAGTGCAGGACCTTAACACACCCCAGCTACCACCACATTCCCTGGACACCTGTAAAGCCACAAGCTCAGGCCTCCAGCACTCAGCCTGCTGTTAACTCTTCCCACCACTGTGGACAATTCCAGCCTGAGCAGGAGCCAGGATTCCCACATGGAGAGGAACTGCCTGGAGCAGGGCCCTGAGCTCACCTCAGGGGAGCAGGTGGCAGGGACAGGCCTGTGACACCAGGGAAAGGCTCAGCCAGGACAAGCCCAGAATTTTTCAGTTGGAAAAACCCTCTGAGGTTACCAAGTCCAACCATTCCCCAGCACTGCCAAGGCCCTATGTCTGCAAGTGCCACATCCACATGGCCTTTGTATCCTTCCAGGGATGGGACTCCAGCACTGTCCTGGGCAGCTGTGCCAGGGCTGAACAGCTCTTTCCATGAAGAAATATTCCCTAATATCAACCCTGAGCCTGCCCTGGCCCAGCCTGAGGCCATTCCCCCTCCTCCTGTCCCTGTTCCCTGGGAGCAGAGCCCGACCCCCCCGGCTGTCCCCTCCTGTCAGGAGCTGTGCAGAGCCACAAGGTCCCCCCTGAGCCTCCTTTTCTCCAGGCTGAGCCCCTTCCCAGCTCCCTCAGCCTCTCCTGGGGCTCCAGCCCCTTCCCAGCTCCCTCAGCCTCTCCTGGGGCTCCAGCCCCTTCCCAGCTCCGTTCCCTGCCCTGGACATGCTCCAGCCCCTCCAGGTCTCTCCTGTCAGGAGGGTCCCAGCGCTGCCCCAGCACTGGAGGTGCCCCAGCAGTGCCAGCTCAGGGGACGGGCACTGCCCTGCTCCTGCTGCCACCCCAGGGCTGGCACAGCCCAGGTGCCCTTGGCCTTCCTGGCCACACCTGGCTCAAGTTCAGCACAAATCCCAGCCCAGCCCAAACTGGATGCGTGCCACATACTTCTCCTTCTCGATTTCCATGGACAGCCTCTTCATGTCTGTATCCTTGAAGTCGAAGGAGAGGCTCTCACTGATGAGGTTGTAGCTTGGCAGGTCAGTGGGCAGTGCTGTGGTACTCGAGTTCATGGACTGCTGAAGAGAGAGCACACGTTAATCACTCTGGGCCACACAAGTGTCACTACAGCCAATGTTCTGCAATGCCAACGTAAAATCAGAGCAACACTTGAGCCCAGATCCCGAGCACAAGATCAGCCTGGACATCCCCTTGCACCATTCCCAATTTGCTCCTCAATTCAAAACCATTAGTCCTCCAGGATTCTTTGTAGTCCTAAAAGAGGAGACAAAACACCACCTGCCTTCAAAATCTATTGACAAAACTTGGTAAAATCAAGGCTTTATCACTGCTGTGTCACTTTAAGCTGCCTCTTGGGAGTCATCTGTCTGATATTTAACATTCAATCAGGCTTATAAAGTTCACACTGTGAGCAGGGACAATGCAAGATCCTGTGTGAAAGCAGAGTCCTGCACTCCACAGCTCCCCAAAGCCTGAGCAAGGACCAGTGTGACCCCAAGGATGCCATTCCAGCAAGGTCCATGGAGATGCACCAACACATTTTTATCTCCTCAGTATTAAAAACCACTTCTAGATTCAGCTGGAAATTGAGATAACACAGCAAATCACTCCTGGAACACCTGAGCAAGGATTTGGGACTTTCTTCTTCCTGCAAAATGCTTTGCTATCCCCCAGTGACACACAATGCCAGGCCCTCGGGTCTTATCTTCTCCTAAAAAATGACCCTTCTTCCTCTCAGTCAAAAATTCTGTCACACCTCTAACAAATGGGCTCATTAGGAGGAGAGGAAAATCCTGCTGGAGTCATGGCTCTGCTCCTGCAGCACGCTGGATGAGGTGGCAAGCAGGGCACATGTCAAGGGTGGCACAGCAGCATCAGCTGGGGCTGAGTCACAAGTGCTGCCAGACTGCTCAGCCCTGCTCTGGGGTATGAGAAGTCCAGCCCAGCATCCCAAAGATCCCCCACCTCCCTCCTGGATGCTCCTTCTTGCTTTAAGGGATTCCTGTAAGGAAAACAACATACACAAACCTGGAATGGCAGTGCTGAGTACCTGCTCTAACAAATGAGAGTTTGAGCTTCCACTGGCTCTTTCTTTCCCTCATTTCTCTTATTTGGGATACTCCAAGCACTGTTTTCAGTTAGCCCCTCTTCAGCAAGACCTGCAAGCACTGGGGTGACAGATTTACTCTGCACAATAACCTGCCTCTTCCCTCACCACCAGCCTGGAATTCACAAACAGCCAGGGCTCGTTCCCAGCTCGGACAAATCTGAGAGGAACAACATTTCATCGACCCAAAGCTGGAACACAAACACCTCATACAAGCATAAACAAGGAGGTGCCTCAGACTGCACTTGGCCTGGCTGGAGCCTTCCAGGTGAGTTAAGACCCACATGACAAGGAAACCCAATTCCTTCCTCCCCCTCTGCTGCCAGCACGGAACAAAGCCACATTAATTCTGGAGCAGGCGCTGGAAGGGACAGCGCAGTACCTAAATTCCAGTCTCGAAGGAAAGGGGACAGGTCTGCCAAAGCACTTAACTGATTTAAATACTTGCATCCCATTGACATTCAAGTCCCTTCCCTGTAAGGCACACAGGCGTTCCCAAAGTCCTTCCCACGTGAGGTTCTCCTGTCCCTGCAGCGCAGGAGAGCCAGGAGCATCCGAGCCAGCCCGCTGGCCTTCAAACAACCTTTAGCTTGTTTTTTTTTTTTTTTCAGTACAAGCTTTGTTGGGTTTTGTTTTTAAAAATTCCCAACAGCAGCAGTAACAGTTGAGCAGGAATTTCAGTTGCTGCAGCCATTAAGGCCTGAGCCAATTCATCAGGGTTGCTACAGCCACTACTTCCTTCTCTTCCCTCGGCACTGCTCTGCTGTGGAGCAAGGAAAAAAACTGGTGAACTCAGAGAGCAGCAGGAGTGAGGAGGAGTATGGAAAAACCAGAGTGAGCAGGTTCAGGGCTCTCAGAGGCATGGGATTGGTATCTGGAGCAAAGCATTTAAGAGAATCATGGAATGGTTTGGGTGTGAAGAGACCTTAAAGCTCATCCTGTTCCACCCCCTGCCCTGGGCAGGGACACGTTCCACTATCCCAGGCTGCTCCAAGCCCCATCCAGTCCAGCCTTGGGCACTGCCAGGGATCCAGGGGCAGCCACAGCTGCTCTGGGCACCCTGTGCCAGGGCCTGCCCACCCTCATGGGGAACAATTCTTTCTCAATATCCCATCCATCCCTGCCCTCTGGCAGTGGGAAGCCATTCCCTGTGTCCCATCCCTCCATCCCTTGTCCCCAGTCCCTCTCCAGCTCTCCTGGAGCCCCTTCAGGCCCTGCAAGGGGCTCTGAGCTCTCCCTGGAGCCTTCTCCTCTCCAGGTGAGCACCCCCAGCTCTCCCAGCCTGGCTCCAGAGCAGAGGGGCTCCAGCCCTTGGAGCAGCTCAGGTGCCTCATCTGGACTGGCTCCAGTAGCTCCAGGTCCCTCCTGTGCTGGGCCCCAGGGCTGGGGCAGCTCTGCAGGTGGGGTCTCACCTGAGCAGGGCAGAGGGACAGAATTCCTCTTGCAGATTCCCTGCCATTAGCAACAATCCTGGGCAGCGCTTTCAGCAGGTGCTGTTATTTCTAATCCAGGGCCATGGGATGATAAAAAGGATAGGGAGCTTTTTCCATATGTGTTCCCTGACCTGGAACAAACTGCAGAGCCCTGTTCCTGCTTACAGCAATTTCCTGCCGTTAAGAGGCAAGCACCACGCCGGCAGCGGCCATCCCTTGGATCCCTCTGGAATACAGAGCGACACAGAGCATCCAGAGCGAGCACAGAGCAGGTCAGGAGGGTTCCCCTGCATGGAAAGCTCCTCCTGGTGCTGCCACTGCCTCTATTTTGCTGCTCAGGAATTTGGGCAAGCCCAAACCAGCCACTTGCAGCTCCCACAGGAGCAGAGAGGAGGTGATTGCCTTTAGCTGGCACCTGAAGGGCACTGAGGAAGGCAAAGATTTGTGACCAAGTCCATAAGGAATGAGTTGTTCTCCAAGCCCTGATGGCCTGAGTCTCAGATCCACATCTCACTTCTCATGCATCACCTACCAGTGACATCATAAAATCAGCCTGGGCTTCAAGGACTAAAAAGACACTGAAACAAGCTTTAAAGAACCAGGATTGGAGACTGGAAAGTTGAAAAATACATATATATAACTGTTTGTTTTGCCTTTTCTGCAGCACAGAGTTAGGTCAGGGATTGGACTCCATCTCTGAAGGGTCCTTTCCAACCTAAATGATTCTACATCCATCCACTCCCTCCTTCCTCTCTTGCTCTTGTGAAGTCCTGCTGAGCTCCCAGTGTCAGGGGACAACACAGCCCAAGTCTGGGACCATGGAAATGAACAAGCCCAATGTTATACCCTCGTTCAGGAAGAGAAAAGTTGGAATCCTGCACCGTTCATCAGAGCTGAGGAACTCAAGTCTCCCAGAAACAGCTTTCAAAACCAGTCCCTCCATGTGCTGGCAATTCTGGGATGTGTAACAGAGGATGGAAGAGCCCAGCAAGGTGTTTTCACCTGGATATGGACATGCTGGGCACACCAGCCTCCTCCTGACCGTTGAAATAACAGCCACAGAGTCTGTGCAGCACATCCCTCATCCCAGGGCAGGGAGAGGGGCAAGAGGAGCAGCAGCTGCATGAGGGGATCCTGCCACGGAAATGGGGAGGAAAAAAGCATTTCCCTCCTCAGCAGGCACTGGCAGCTGTGTCTGGAAGGCCAGGGCTCTTTAGGGAAGGCAGAGGACACAGCCCTATGTGTCTGGAAGTGGCAGCTCTGCCTCCAGGCAGATGCAGCTGGAGGGGTGGAGCTGAGCTCCATGCAATCCCACAACATTCCCCTAATGAGGCTCTAATTCCACAGGAACACAGAGCTGAACCACCCAGCTGCTCCCCTGCACAGAGATTTCAGCACAAGGGCTTTGAGCCGGGGCTCTGCTAGTTTCACTAAGGATGGACATGGCAACACGAGGGAACATGGTGTGGAAGAGCTGCCCAAATTCCACACTGGCTGGTGTAGCCACGCAGCACAATTCCAATGAGGACAAGTAACTCCCTGTGCACAAGTTAAAGCCAGAATTAAGGAGCTGGTGCATCCCAGAATTCTAGTGACTTGTACAAGAAGGAGCACTCCAAAGCTGGGCTTTATCCAGCACTCACTTGACTGAGTGTCCCAGAGCTGAGAGCACCTGATTATTTTCCATCACTGTTATTTTTAACAGCTTCCAAATATTCTTGCAGTGAACTCCAGGGAATCGGGATGAAAACTTGCTTCATCTCAACCCCTCTCCAATCTGCTCCTATAAAGTTTCCAGACAGAGGGGAAAGTAGTCTGCAGGTACAAATTCAAACCTCGGTGCTGGCCTGTCCATAACTCCCACGTCAAGCCCATTCCTGATACTCTTCCCCTTCTCGCAGGCCAGGAAGGAACAGGTGTGAGCTGCAGGGCTGGAGGCACCTGATGGGTTTTGCAGGCACAATTAGGGAAGCAGAGGAACAGAACTGCCAGACAAGTCAGAGCAATGGTCATCTAGTCTGGCTTTTCAGTGCCCGGCATGAATCAGGACCAGATGCTTCAGAGGAAAGTGTGAAATCCTCTTAATGGACAATTATGGAATAATCTCCCTTCAAGTCAGTTTTTTTCCAGCACACGAAGGTCCACTTTATGCCCTAAGAATGAATGTACAGGTTCTGAAAAGTGTTTATCCCACCTAACAAGGACATACTTAACCCCATTTTAAAGGTTATTGCTAAGCTGGTGCACTCCACACGTTCTGGCAAAGTGGCTCTGACACGGGCTGCTAAATTGGTTTAAAATTTGCTGCTTTAATTTCACCAGCAGCTCCTTTGCTCTCGTAGCAAGAGGTGGGTGGAAAAAAAAAAAAAAAAGAGCATAGTGAAGTTCTGCTGGATGAGATGCAGGGATGAAAAGGGCAAGCACTGCTCAGGATTTCTGAGCAGCAAAGACACAGCTCAGCCCCCTCCATGGTTGGGATGGAGAAGGAGGCTCCTCCAGGCTACACAGAAGTTCAGGGAACTGGGAATTACAACACAGATCTCTCTTACTGTGTAGGAAGACTTGCTAGTGATCTCCAAGAGCTTCTGCTTTGCTCTGCGCTCTGACTCGCGAGCCTCCTGCAGGTCCTGCTTGAGCTGATCAGCCTCCTTTGCCCTGCAAAGACCAACAGCAAACAGCAAATATCAGACTGGAGCCAGGGGGAACGAGAGGATGGAGAAGCAGGATCACAGTGTGGAATAGGCAAGAAGAGACAGAGAAGGGCTGAGCTCATCCAAGCAGAAGGGCTGACACCCAGCAAGCTCTCACACAGAGAGGAGTAATCAGCTGGAAGGAAACAAGGCTCATCTTTTACTTGCTCACTGCCACATTCACCGTGGGACCTGGGCTTGGGTATCAGGAGGATGGAAACACCAGTTTTAACAAGGAGCAAAGTCTCTGTTCAAGGCTAATCTGGAACAGAACTCATGGCTGGAAAGGAGAACTGGACAACTGAGAGGCAAGTACAGGAGTAAGGAGAGAATAGGGAAGGTAGAACTACTGTCCAGAGGAAGAACAACCCCCAAGTGTTATTAATGTTGTTAAATACTTTGGGGAATGCAGAGGACAGCTGCAGAAAGCATCCAAATGCAGAGCTGGCTTTTGGAGAGGGAAAACATCTGGGCGAAAGGGCCATTTGCTGTTGGACACACGTGGGAAGCTGAGGGAGGATAACTCAGAGGGATAACTTGAAGGGGGTGGGAAGCAAAGCAAAAGTAGCTGCAAGGTTGTACCCTCTGACCTCCTCTCCGACTCCTCGGCCATTTTCAGTGCCAACATCTCTGCCTCCAGCACCTTCTGCTCCATCAGCCTCTTCTCCTCCTCAGTCCGGATGGCCGTGGCCTTGATGCGCTGCATCTCCTGCTCGGCCTCGGCCGCCTTCTGAGCCAGGAGCTTGGCCTCCTCCTCCGTGATCTGCGCCTTCTCCGCCAGCAAATCCGCCGTCTCCTCCGACCTCATCTGACAATTCCGGGACACAAAGCCATTAAGGACAGCCAATGTCTCCCCAAATGTGCCCACAGCCCCTGGAGCAGGGCCCTGAGCTGCTCGCTCCGACACGCTCCATAGAATCCCTCCCTCCCGTGAAAACCTGCAGCCGTCTGCCACCAAGGCTGGGATGTGCCCAGGCTCTGCCCCAAATCACCCTCTCTGTGCTCCTCCCAAGCAGCCCTGCAGGATGAAATAGCTCCATCCAGCCTGCTGCTCACTGGCCACTAGCAGCAGTTTGGGAGCAGTCTTAGGGCAGGCATAGAGTGCTTCCAAAAATGATTCCGCAGTGGAAAGAGCGAGGAGCAGCTGCAGTGCTCGGGAAATGGCCTCCCAGGGACCTACCAGAGCCTCGTTGGCCATGGTTGCCTCCTCCTTCAGTTGCATCAGCCTCCTCTCCAGCTCATCTCTGGTCCTCTCAGCCTCTTCTCTCATTTGCTTCTCTCGTGCCAAGCACTGTCGTTCCATCTGGGAAAAAGGGATTGGGGAAAGCAAGGAGAAAAACACACATGAGGAAGGTTTTCCATGGGTGAGAAAGAGGCACAGGTGAGGTCAGAGCACTGCTGCCTCCTCTCTGCTTAGTGACAATAGAACACCCATGGACTGGGGTCTGATCAAAGAACAGAATCATGGGATCTCTTAGGTTGGAAAAGACCTCCAAGATCATCAAGTCCAGCTGTTCCCCCAGCACAGCCAAGGCCACCCGTAACCCATGTCCCCAAGTGCCACATCCACTTGGGGCATGAGGGGATCCTGCCACGGAAGGGTTCTTTTAACCCTTCCAGGGATGGTGATTCCACCACTGCCCTGGGCAGCCTCTTCGATGCTCCCTTGGAAAGTGCCAGTCCTGAGATAATTCCCATCCTCTGCTCAGGCTGTCACTCACAGCATGGCCACAGGAGCTGCCTGCAGGTGACAGTGTCCCCAGACAGTGCCCTCCTAGGCTGAGTCACAGGGTAGACCAGGACAACTGGGTCTCAAGATCTCCAGCTTAACTCTCTGGAGTTTCTTACAGGAGGACTGGGCTTAAGGACAGTCTGAGGGCATCTCCCAAACACTGAAGCACATGGCAGGAGGCTGAAGGACAAGGATAGCTGCTCCTTTTGATCAGATATCCAACCCAGCATCCTGGTACCTTCACTTCCATTTGATCACAGGGAGGTGACACAGAGTGCAACCATCTCTGACAATTCCTGGATAAAACAAACCCTCTCCATTCGCAGGGTACAGCAATGCTTCTCCAGGAGGAGAAGATCCAAGCCATCAGGACCTGCCAGCTCTCCCCAGAAGATGCAGGGAGGGTTGTTGTGCCCAGGGACTGCCTCTTCACTAGCCAAGAGCCCAAGGGAGCCATTGGGCTAATTAACACACTGAGTTTAATCCCTCCAGTCCCACAGGGATGGGGCATTATAAATATCCACGCTGCAGCCAGGACAGGAGACCTGCTGGGTTTAATAAGGGAAGGAAGTGAGACAAGCCACATTTCTCTACTCCTTGGACACCAGCTGTGCTCTGAAAGCGGGACGCCCACTGTTCCAACCGTTCTGCTTCCTTCCATTAAAGGTTCCCCTCATTAATTATCATTATGATCTGCATCCCGCTCAGGACTCCCATTAACAAGAATCCCTGATCTAAAAGGACAATTTGAAACCAGTTAACGACTGTGGATGCTGAGGAGGGAGCAGGGAGCAGGGCAGACAGCACAGTGGCTCACTCAGGACAGGGCAGCCAGCCCACACAGGAGCCTGACCTTTCCCATGGAGCCCAGGTGCTCTGGATTTGGGACCTCAGGTAAAACCCTAAGCTGCTGCTCCCTCCCAGAGCCCTCACCTCTTCCAGCAGCCCAAATAAGCACAGGATCTTGGGTGTGGTGTTATCCAAACACATCAAAACCTCACAGATCATAAAACTTAAAGATCTGTGGAATTGTCCAGGTTAGCAAAGCCCTCTAAGCCCAAGCCCAACTATTATCCCAGCACAAGTGTGTACTCCACAAAACCATATCCTTGTGTACCAGATCCACTTCTGAACTCTTCTGGGGATGGTGACTTCACCACTTCCCTAGGCAGCCCATTCCAATGCCTGACCACCCATCCCCGAGGCTGTCAGCACTTGGACACCGTGCTGCTCCTTCCAAGGATCTTCTGCTCCACTAAGGTGAAGCAGTGGTGAAGGGTTGATGGTTGGAGGCCTCAGAGTTTTTTTCCAACCTTAATGGTTCTATAGTGCCAACCCCGTATTAACCAGAGGAATCCCTGTGGGAAGTCCCTCTTCCCCAGTGGAGCTTGTAGAGACTCAAGCCCAGACCTCTCCTGGCACTCCACGAGCTACATGAAGGAAAACTGCCTCAGGAGGTGCCTGAAGGACAAGTCACATCCCACCTCCAGCCCAGCTGAGCACCTCAGCACCATGCAAGCACCTTGGGAGGTACATGAAGGACAAGACACATCCCATTTCCAGGCTGGCTGAGCCCTCAGCACCACACAAACACCACGAGGTGCCTGAAGAACAAGCCACGTCCTACCTTCAGTCCAGCTGAGCACCTCAGCTCCACACAAGGATTGAGAGAGGCGCCTGAAGGACAAGCCATGTCCCATTTCCAGGCCAGCTGAGCACCTCCATCCCACACAAGGATTGAGAGAGGTGCCTGAAGGACAAGCCATGTCCCATTTCCAGGCCAGCTGAGTACCTCCATCCCACACAAGCACCTCTATGGTCACGCTCAAAACCAGTAACACCCAGACCCATGAGCACAAACCCCTGTTGGGTGCAGCGACTGTTCTGGCTTCTCCTACTCCTCTCTAGTGGCTTCCCTGCCAAAGGGCCATTTATATTCCGAGCACCAGTGCTCAGATTAGCTGTGTGGGTTTCAGTGAGTAGAAAAGGTCTACGAGCAGAAAACAATGATTCATACAATTCAATTTGCTGATCTCTGCTCGTGGGCTCCACGCCGCTGCCTCTGCCGTGCCAGCCGGGCTGACCCAGGCACGGAGAGAGGCCAGCATGGCATCAGCATTCCAGGCTGCACAGCCCGGAATGTCGGCATGCATTCCATTACCCTGCAATTAGAAATGAGCCAAAGAGCTACAGCAGAGCACAGCTCCCCCTCACAGCCCCCAATTTATCAACTGTCCCAACACATAGCCTGCCACACAATTGTAGACACCCAGGACAGCTTTTCCCTCCTATCCTCTCAGTTTTGTTCCCAAATTGGGGGCTGGACTCAGGCTGTCACCAACCTGCAGAGCCAAGCTGAGATGACTGGAGAGCTGGGAGCAGGCTACTAAAAAATGTTCAGTTGGACCTTCCCTCAAAGCTGCTTTGAAGTCATTCCAGAGACCCGTCCTTCCCAAGCCCGTCTGCATTTCTGATTTTGGCTCACTGGTTATGGGACATGTGGCTCACCTGCTTCCTGGCCTTCTCCTCCCTGGCCTGTGCTTTCATCTGCTGCACCTCCAGCGAGTCTGCCTTCCTCCTCCTCATGAAGAGGTCGTGGTTCCCAATGCACAGCTGAAGAATCTGCAGCAGTCAGGGGTGAAGAGCAGAGAGGAACAGCTGTACGCGTGATGGCAATGAGGTGGTTTGTATTCTTGACACACAAAACCACTAGAATTGCTTTGATTTGGTGCTTGTTAGTGCTTCCACCCACTGAGCTCCATCCCTGCGAGCTCTCACAGCTGTAGGAGGGGCAGGGAGCCAGGTCCCACACCAAACACCAGCTCCTGGGTATAGCAGCTCTTTGCAGACACCAATTTTCTGTGCCTCCAGCACAGCACGGGTGTTGTTTGACACCCACTCTAAAAAGGCAAGAGGCCAAATAATGAAATAAAAATTTCTACAGCTCTGCCTGGTTCCCTCGTTCTCACTCCTCCCTTTCTTTAGGCTCAAGATGAACTTGCACCTTCTCCCCAGTGTATGTTTAAGGCACTGAGATTAAAAAATAAATTAAAAAAAAAAAGGAAAACCACTTTCTATTTGGACAAACAGAAGGCTTATCAAAAACTTGCTTGGGCATCTCCAGACTCCTTTGCTGAAGGGATTTGAGCCCCAGTGTGGTTCTCTCTCTGGTAAGGACCAGGGAGGTGGCAGTGCTAGAGGAGGGTTAGCACAAGGTGGGCACACAGAAGAGTGAAAAGATTTTTTTAGCAATAAAAGCAGGGTTCTAAATTTGGATTCTTTTCTAAAGGACTGATTTACATGCTCTTCTTCCATTTTATAAAATCACAAGAATCATGGAATGGTTGGAGTTGGAAGAGACCTTTAAGATGGTCCAGTGCCACCCCCTGCCATAGGCAGGGACATCTTCCGTTGTCCCATGTTGCTCCAAGCCCTGTCCAACCTGGCCTGGAACACTTCCAGGGATGGGGCAGCCACAACCCAAATCACAAATGACTTCTCTGAAGATTTCAGCACTATGAAGCTGATGATGCAGAGAATGAGGAAGCCCCATTTCCTATGGAATATGAAGCACAGCCAACAACCAGGACAGCAAAGGTACCTGTGTGACCTAACAATGGATCCAAATCCAGACCATCAGCTAAAGCTGGTCTCCAACATGGACAGCTCAATCAGCTCAATGCAGCCCATCCTTGTCCAAGGAGAGTGTCCTCAGGGGGGGAAAGCCAGGACTGTGCCTCCCAAAGCAGGGAAAGCTACGACACAGGGCAGAATGGGAAAGATCCACATGGGAAGAAAGAGGAACTGAGCAAAGCTGTTGAATTTACTAACTGCTTCCACTATTTAGGTCAGCTGAAAGCCAAGAGCTGCAAAAAGGAGCACAGAAACAGGGGAGGGGGAGAGGTTCTGCGGAGCAGCTTACCTTGAGTCTCCCCCTTCCCTCCTTCAGTGAGCAGCAGCTGCTACACCCCATCACAGCCACACAGCAGCAGCTCCCTCTCAAAGGAAAAGCCCCAAAAGCTCGTTGTCTCACACTCTCTGCAGAACCCACTGCTGCAGGCAGTAGAAAAAGACTGTCTGTGCACTTACCAGCTTATTCACACGCAGCTTTGATGAATTGAATTTAAAAACATCAATCTTTTTGTCCAATGGCTTAATTGTAAACTGAAAAGAAAAAAATAAAGAGGGAGAGAGTTATCAGAGGGTGGTGCATTTAATAAAAAAGGCAGCTATAAAATTCTTCCTGAAAGCTCTGGCTCAGAGCAGGTCAGCAGGGTCAGACACACGGCTCAGAGCCGTCCCCGTGGCTCTGAGCCAAGCAAGAGGACTTGCATCAAAAGCAGCCAAGGAGACAACTGTTCCTCCTGTCAGGAAAACATGGGGGCCACAGGAGCTGGTGTCCTCTGCAGAGAACCCTGCAGGGGTGGGGGTTCAGCTCAGCACCTCCCCAGGCAAGGTGCTGCTCTCCTGGGAGCTGCAGGGAGCACAGAATCCACAGCAGGAACTCAGGATGCTTCCAAAGGGAGGAAGAACCAGCTCAGCTGCCTGATGGGAATCACAGAATCATTAAGGTTGGAAAAGCCCTCCAAGATCCTAAAATTCAAGTGTCAACCCAACAGCATCATATTCACCCTCAAACCATGTCCCCAGGTGCCACATCCACATGTGTTCTGAACACTTTACTTGTCAGTCTGGGACAGGGTTTGACAGCCCTTTAATGAAGAAATTCTCCCTAATATCCAACTTACACCTTCCCTGGTACAACTCAAGGCTGCTTCATCTCATCCTGTCACTTGTTACCTGGGAGAAGAGCCTAACTCCCAGGTGTCTGCACTCTCCTGTCAGGGAGTTAAAAAGGCAGGAGAGCTGCATCAGGAACACAGCAAAGAGCTGCTGCCCTTCCCACCAACACCTCCACTCACAAGAGTTCCCCAGAAGTATTTTCCATGCATTTTCTTCTCCAGAACTCAGCCATGTCCTAAGACTTCCCCACAATTCAAACTTTTATTCCCTGGCTGTAAGTTGTACTTACAGTCCATGTGCCAACCAGCCAGCTCTACCCATGGCCTGGCTTCACCCTCTCCAAAGCTCTCCCACAGACGCTCTCTTGAGAGGCCAGTGGTGGCACAAATCCCTCAAGGGCTTTAGTAATGCAGCCCTTGGATGGAGAGAAGCCTCTAGACTATCAGAAGGGTACTTGAAGAGATGGAGTGCTCTGCAAGATGGCATTTTTTAGGAGACATGCACATATTCCATCACTCCCCCACACGCTACAGAAATAACGGGCTGAGGAGCTGGAGCAGACAGAGTGTGTCCATTAGAGTGGGAGATCTGTCAATACACAGCCCTGCCTGCAAAGGGCCCTGCCCTGGCACTGCCTCGCTCCGGCAGTTTAAGAGCCAGTCTTTTAAAACTTTCACACAAGCAGACGTGCATGAACGTCCCTGGATTCAGGGCCCCCAGCAGTCACTGGGAGCAGCAGCAGGAATGTGCTGGGAGAGGAGTTTCAGCTCCATGTGGACAGTCAATCTGTGTTAGGAGGGATAACCTCCAGTGTGGTGCCAGCAGAGCTGCTGTTCCCAGCTATTGGCCCTGTGTGCATCAGGTCAGGCCTGCTCGTGGGCACCTGACTACACAGATGATTGAGCTGATGGAAGGGATCCGTCCTTCCCCTGGAGAGAGCTCTGCTACAGTCCTGTGGCAAGGCCTGCTTATGGAGGAGTCAGTCCCTGGATTCTGGGGAGCTCCCACTGCGCTGTAACAGGCAGGGAAGTCACTCAGTGCTGGGCTTTTTGTGGAGTCGTGAAGCTCTTTAAGGAGTAAAGCAAGTGGAGACAATTCCAGCACAGATTTACTGCTTATAAAACTTCACAAGACATGCAATAAACGCAGCTGATGAGAAACCTTTAGCTGCTCCCCTGATCAATATCATGTTTAGATTAGAAAACCATTTTTAATTAAGAAGTTAATTCTCTTCCTTACCATGAAGGCAGCTGGTTTCTTTGAGCTGCTCTCTCAGACTTAAAATGGAGCTGCTCAGTCCGCCCTCCTCAGCCAATTTCACTTCTGTTCTCAATTAGGTTTGAGGGCCAACAATCTGAAAGACCCATCTTTAGACTCTGGATTTAATAAATAACTATCCAACAGCGCCCTTAAATTGCTCAACTTCCTAAAAAGATTCCAGCTGCTTATGCCAAGCCCAGCAGCCTGACACCCAGAATGATGTAATGAGATGGCAAGAGCTCTCCTCCCCAGGAATACATCTCCCTGTATTCCATAATACAGAATATATCCACAGTAATAAATACCGTAATATATGCAGTAAAGAAGAGATTTTAACTTCTGAACTCTGGTATTTGGGCTAAGAACATCAACAGCAATTTTGGGTTTTTGAAAAGATTATTACATAGAAGGTTTGAAACCAAAGAGGAGAACCAGCTCCCCAGTGACCCCTTGCACGCCCACTCCTGCAGAGTTTCAGGAAGGCTTGGATTAAGGTTTCAACTGGAGGAGTTGAGCTGCCCTTAGCTAAGCTGGTGAGAGCAAGCACAGCAGATAGAGAAGCCAAGAGAAATAATTTTAAATCCCAGTTGTGTTCTTACTGCTCTCAGGGAGGAGTTGGGACACATCCATACCTCTTTATCACTGTAGGAGATATTCCGGATCTCATTCCATGGGAAGGAGATTTTAGGGGTCAACCTGTTGTCTGGGTCATAAATGTGAAGACCCAAGGCATCAACTCCAAGGAGCAGCTCTGTGCCCTTTTTATTCTGCAGGAGGAAAGGAAAGAGCAGAAATCACTGGGAGGGTCAGATGTGAACCCACTGTTTCCCCCTCAGCCAGCCCCAAGCGGTGACCCAGCACTGGGTACCAGGAGCTTCCCCTCAGCACAGATTGGGTCCCCAATTGCCACCTCCCAGCTCTCTTGGCTCTCCAGGACATGGAGAGCCAAGGAAAACAGGACCCCCAGCCCACCCAACTCACCCTGATGGCAAAGTAGTTCACACCGTACATTTCCAGGTCCTGGGCTATCTTCAGATACTCCATTTCAGCTTCATCTCTGTCAGGCAGGAACAGTGTTTGGGAGGATCAGAGAGGGACATGGCTGCTCCTGCTGATCCTAAGCACTCACCAGGCTTTAAAGCTTGGACTGTCTCTATCACACAGGTCAATCCTGTCTTTGCTGGCAGGATCAATAAAGTCTAAGAGCAAATCTCACTCTGCAGCTGCCAGCATCTGAGTGGCCGCTGAGATGCAGCACTCCAGGCCTGGCTTTGTTCACCTCCCAATCCCTTCAGCATAAATAGGAAATCCCTGGCTGGGATGCCACTGTTTCAGATCCACGGCTTTAGGTTTATTCCCCAAAAGGAGCATTTTGCCACCTGAGGCGGCCATATAGTTTGAATCCCTATTTATTCTCCCAGATCCCTGATGCAGGTGAGTCCTTACTTTGCATCATTCCTGAATTCTCTTGAAGGCCCCGACAGTGACCGGGGGACAGCAAGGCACAAGCTGAGCCATCAACAAAAGCTTTGAGCTCTTCCCGAGGCTGCTGCAGAGATGTGCTGAGATTAACCTGCTGGCAGAGCTCATCCAGCACCCGCCCAAGCTTCCCAAAGCCTGGTGACTCTGCAGGGGAGGAGACTGGCCCTGACCCAGCCCAGCAGCACAAGCTCACCTCGCTCTGCCCCGGTGCTCTGCATACCAGGCTGTTATCCTTTCCTCCCACATCTCTGGAGTCATCTGGTACAGATTTATTACCTGGGATAGGTGGGAGACAGAGACCAGGTTACAGTGCTGCTCCTGGCTCAGCAAGAAAGCCAGAAATGCCAAGACAGGTCCAGCAGCACATCCAGCCTCAGGACAGCTTGGACACTGACTCCCCGCTGCTGCTGAGCTCCTTACCCGCTTGGGAAGCAATTCCTCCTGTGCCAGGAAGCCTCTCTTGTGGACATTGGGATCGTAGTCACCGTACTGGGGAGAAGCACAGACACCATGCCCATCCCACGTTAACAACAAGGGCAAGTCAAACTCTTCACTCCCTCACACCCAGCCCTGAGCGACAGCAAACATGGCCTGCTCACCCCTGCACCCCAGGAGCACAGAACCTGCTGTCCTCTAAGGTGAATAACCTGAGTTTCTTTGTCATTTCATTGCTAATAGAAACAAAGAGTTTCCTTCTACTCATGCAGCAGAGCTGGGAGCAGAACAAAACTTTCCACCATCAGAGAATCATTAAAGTTGGCAAAGGTCTCCAAGATCAAGTCCAGCCTGTGACTGCACATCCCTAAGGTCCCCAAGAGCCACATCTGCTCAGTTTTTGAACACTTCCAGGGATGGTGACTCTACCACTTCCCACAGCTTCAGCTGATGACCTTCACCAGTTGATGTCCTCCATCAGTCCAGCTGGACTAAATGATGGTTGTCGTATTGTATTGTATTGTATTCTATTCTATTCTATTGTATTCTATTCTATTCTATTCTATTCTATTCTATTCTATTCTATTCTATTCTATTCTATTCTATTCTATTCTATTCTATTCTATTCTATTCTATTCTATTCTATTCTATTCTAATTATCATGCCCTAATTAACATTTTCCCCAGTGCAGAGCAGGACTATAGCTGAGAGGTCCTTGCAGTTCCACAGGTAACGGAACAAGGAAATAAGACATGGAGAAAGACCTGTCCCCAAAAACTGATGGATAGCAGTGATCCAGGTTAGGCAGATGGCAGTTTCTCTGTCGCTGCTCATCACCCTAATGAATAAATATCAAAAAAATTAGAGGAGTTTGACAGATTCCTCTCAGGCAGGTGGTGGCTCTTCTGTCAGAGGGTCTGTTGCTCAACTGGGTCATGGAATCCAATTCAGATTTGTTAAGCGCATCCACTAATTACTGGTATTTGTTTAGATTTACATCTCTTTGAGCAGCATATAAAGTGACTGAGAAAGAAAACTGCTTATTAACAGATTGAAGAGCCGCGTGTCCCTGCGGTGCATGTGAAAATGAATTTACCTCCTGCACGGCCTCAGAGGGCAGGAAAACGCTGGAAAACGGCTCCTCCAACAACCCAGCAAATTCAGGGGGAGAAGAACAAAGCATGTGAGGCACGTACACAGAGTGCTGTGACTTCCACACTTCCTTCACCTGGCAACCAGGACTTCTGCAGTGATAGAGATGACAGCGCCCGACTGCACGAGACACAGCACTGTTTGCTCAAGCCACTCATTTTGCAAGAGGGGCAGCCCTTCCCTCCCTGTTTTTCTGAGCAACCTTCGCTCAGAAAGTGCAAAATGGTGACAATTTTTAAACACAAGACCAAGAGGCATCTGCTGGTCATACAACAAGTCAGGAGGTTTTTCCTCTCAGCCTCCTTTTTGTGCCAGGACCTTCACACCGTGCACCAAAACCAAAGCTCAGCATCAAAAGTCTACACACATCCCACCTCTGCACTTGGGAGACAACACGTGGGGATTAAAGACACAAATATTGATTTGGAGCCAATGCAGATGCAAAGGGAGCATGTAACAACAACCAACACTGACTCAGACTTCAATTAATAGAACAAAACCAGCCCGGATTTCATCCAAGAGCGGCAGCAACTCTCTGCCTTCCAAGGTCTTGGAGCTCCTCAGGATGCAGCACTTTGCAGGTACATGACCCCTGAGCCACCCTTGAAATGAAGCAGAACTAAAAACATGGCACTGGTGAAGGAAGCAATTCCAACAGCTTTGGACAGGCAGAAAGTAAATCATTTTTAGGTGATGAAAATAATAGCAAATAGGATTAACACGATTATTTTCTGTTGTGATCTTCTGAGGAAGTCCAAGACTAAGTATGGATTATGTGACTTTTCATGTGCTTAAAAATACTGCCGTGTCCCAGAGGAATATTTGTACTGAGAGGGGAGTCTGGATGAGAACATTAATTATTCACAAGTCAAAAATCAACAAATGGCTTAAGTATTGCAGAATTTGTTGGCTCAAATGATTTTGCAAATGTATTTTCTAAAGGCCTTTTCAATTAAATCATTACTTTCAAATTGTCATGGAATTTCAGCTCTTGTTAATTGAACTGTATGATTAATATTCGTGATTGGACATGAAATTGCCTTTACCACATTCATACGCCTAGCTTAGATTGTTGGATAAACACAGGCAGGCTCAGCTACAAATTAACACCAAGTATTGCTTGTTTGGGGAAAAACAATAATAATTAAAGAGCTGTTTGCTGTGCTGCAAGAGCTGAAGTGCTGAGAGAGTTGCAGCACAGCAGCAACCTGCATTTAAGGGGCAAAAAATAGAAGAACCTCCTGGATGTTCCCATTTTTTCCCAGTTGATCCCACGTCTTTCCCTGATATTTAAAACCTGAGCCACCTCCAACCTCTGAAAGCCACGTGGGTGGTTTGAATAGGGCTGGAGGGGAAAGCACATAGTAATTCCCTAAATGAACACAATGAGAGAGAAATAAATAAGCTGTTATTTTTACGACCCCCCTGTTTCCTTTGCCGACTCAGGTTGGTGTGGATGGATCAGCAGTACCTGGCTGTCAATAAGTGGCTGCTGGATGCACACACACTGCTGTGTCAGGCTATTATACCCCTAATCATGCAAATCAGCACCTTGTTAGTGAAATTACTGCACTCTCTGCCTGCTTTCTTGTCCAGGAAGGACATCATTATCCTACTCAACTAGCAGGAGATGACCTGCAACATCCTTCTTCCCAGTTCCCTATCAAAGATGTGGTTTCAGCTTTCACCTGTGCTGGGAGTAAAAGCAGAAGGGGAATCCCAGGCTGGAGGGGCAGCAAGGAAAGGGATATCTGAAGAAAACCCTTTAGTGAAAAGCAGGAAATTCAGCCCTGCTCCTCCTTCTCCTGATCTCAGCATGGTCAGAACTGCTCTGACTCCATGTGAGCTCCTCCCAGCGCCCCAGGACATTCAAGGTGCCAAGGGGACAAAGGGAAGGGCACAACCGACCTGCACCAAGTCACAGCCTGTACCCAAGGAGCTGTCCTGGCCATGAGGTAACAGAGCTCAATATTTACCCAACGTTTATTCATTTTGGCAGCCAGAAAAGTCATTCCCTACGTATCCTCAGATCAGGTCAATGGAAAGAAAGCCAAGGACGTGTTTACTCATGCACTCTAATAAGAGTGATGAATGTTTTACACAAACGGAAACATTTCTAAAAGCAACTTTTCTTTGTCCAGCTGATGAGTCTCTTGAACAAAACATGGTTTCATCAATAGCCTGATTATGAGAAGAAAAAACACCAATTTCTTGTAAATTCAAACCCCATCAAAGAACCTGGCACTCAGGGCTCTACTCAGAGAGTGTGGACTGAAAGCTTTTGAGAAAATTACATGGCCAACGGAACAAACCAACCTGGATCAGGCCCTCTCTTCTGGCAACACTTCTCCTACACTGCCAGTAAAGATGGTCCCACAGAGCTGCTCCTCCTAAACTTCTGCACAGCCTTGCTCCTCAGGACAGCTGGACTTGCCAGAACCAGGGCACAGCCACCTGCCTGGGTCCTGTGATCCAAACCCTCCCAAAATCCCACCCAGAGTCAGAACCAACAGGAGATGCAGAGACAACGTGGCTGGGCTGTGCTCAGACTGCAGCTGCTCCTCTCCCTCCCAAAACAGGATCTTTGCACACACAAACTGGAGCTGAGCTCCAGGAGCTGTTAACTGAGCAACAGCACACGTTGTGCATACACAGGGAGAAATTATGTCCCTGACTGCAAGAATGTCCCTGCCACTGAACCCTGGGCTGCTCCCTCCACCACAGGAGTCTCTGCCCTGGGCAAGCTGTCCGAGGCTGCACACCCCAAACTGGAAAACTGTGTCCTCAGGAATAAATCCTCAGCAAAACACACCCGCTCTGGGCCTGAGTAAAATGCAGCAGAGAAACAAGGGGAACTCAATGAACACTGACTTTTCCCTCTGTCTGGTGAGGCCAAACACCCAAGATCAAACCCAAGATAAAGGGAGAAGCCAGGAAAAGCCCTTTCACAGTGCAATAAAAGGGATGTGGCAGTTCTAGCACTGAAATAAAGTCATTGTCAAGATAAATATTCTGGGGGAGCAGTGGAGCTGGGAGTCCCACGGCTGGCTTGCCTCTGGCTACACTGGCAAAAGCAGGGAGGAGATCCAAAAAACCTCAGGCTCAGGGAATTCACCTGCTCCAGCAGTAAGCCACACTCAAGTAGGCTCTGCAGCTCATGAGCTGAGCATTTGCTAAAGAGTCCTGGAAAGAGAAAGCAAAAACCCATCCAGTGTCTGGAGGAAGCCAGGAACCAGCCACATGGAGAAGGCAGCAGTGCTGGTGTAGCCCCCTCACTTCCCAAGCCTTCACAGCTTTCCCTGCTTTCCCTTTCTCTAGGAAGTGGCTCCAGCACAAAGCACCTGGATCAGCATTACCCCAGCAGGCCCTTGGAGCATCCCTTGCTGCCTACCTTGGCTTGCACAGCATAAGAGGCCAGCAGGACAGAGGCTTCAGGAGGACAGAAGATCTTCTCATCCAAAATCTGCTTCTTCACCTGCACACAGAGCAGCACAGGACAGATAACACACGTTTAGTGGAGCACAGCAGAGCATGACTGTCACAGCAGATGGCTGCAGTTTGTTTTAACTTGAGCTGTCAACCACACAGAGTTAACAATTTTCCTAACACTAATCACAGTCCAGACCCAGGAAATCTCTGGCGGCTCGGAAGGGCTCAGGCTTTCACAGACCACCTTTCTCAGACAGGTTGGTGAGAAGAGCTAAATTTATATGTGGAAAATGACAGCACATTTATCCTGTTGCTAAAGGCAAGGGGTGGAGGGGAAACCTTGCATGTAAACACAGCGCTAAAACCTCTTCAGGCACGAGCTACGGATTGATAGGACATTCAGCCACGCTGCTAAATAAAAGAGCAGCTTGCAGCAGAGTCTCTGACCACTGCAAGCTTTGCTCTGGGACATTCAGGCCCCATTGTGAGTCAGTGCTCACCTGTGCTGGAGGCCAATTCCTTGGATCTCAGCACGGAGAGCTGCAGGTCACCTCTGTGGCAGAGCTTTCAGCAGCAGGCAGAGCCCCGTGTGTGCTCCCGGGAGAGCCGACGTGCAGCTCCCCCAGGCCACAGCTTTACTTCCCTGCCTTCTGTGCATTCAAAAATTAAACCTGTCATGTTCGGTATTTTTTGGGTTGGCACACTTAATTTTCCTGATTAAAGATAGGGGGGAAAAAAATTTAAAAAGCCTACGATTTCCTGGGAGGCTTAAATGGATTGTTGGAGATGCAGGAACATCAATTTGAATTTACAACGTGCTTTGAGTCCTCAAAGTTGGGTACAACATAATCACAGCAGATATTCTGCTGCATCAAGATAAAAAACAGGAGAGTTTACAAGCTTAGATGTGCTCCTGTTTCCCAAATGCATTCAGGAGCCCAGGTTCCTCTCAGTACAGAAATCCCAGCAGCAAAGTCATGGTCTGAATTTAGAAAACGCAGCTTGAATGGCTTTTCCTCTCTGATTTTCCTTCTCAAAGATTCCAACAGCATTTTTCCTCACCATGGATAAAGCTCCTGGCAAATGAGGCATTCAGAAATAACCCTACAGAGACACCAGTGCACGAGACAGAGCTTGGAAATTAACAGGAATACTTTGCATTTAGAACACTTTTGGCTCTGGAGAAAAAAGATGGACTTTGGAAGAATGAAGAGTATCAAGAGGCTGGTGAGCTCACTCGGAAAGGGCAGGACACCCTGCAGGCTACAGAGGTATTCCCAAATCCAGGTTGTCCTGACTTTGGTGTAAAAAACTTAAGAATGAGTGACTTTAAAAATTTTTGTAATTTATCTTCAAATTAACAGCCAGAGAGCAGCTGAAACATCCCAGTGAATACCCAGGAGTCTGACTAGGAGGGCTCTGTTCCCTGTAACTGTGCTTGACAGAACTCTTCTGAGGAAAAATGTGTCAGAAAATGGATTTTGTGGCAGAAAATTGATCATGTCTCTGAAAGAGAGCTCCTGTGAAAGCAGCTCCTTGTTACCAGCCATGCAGCATTGCCACATCATCAGCTGAACTGATTTCTCAGGACACAAAGTTTTGTAGAATAATTTAAATAAAAAAACCCAACCAAGACGTGTTCACCACCGTTTCCAAATGCTTAACTGCAGGGCAGGAGTTCCTGGGGCAGGTGAGGTTTCCCCTTCTCCTCTGTTTTTCCACCAGAGAGCTGAGCTGCTGGGATGTTCTTCTGCTCTGAAGAACAACATCTTGATGTACCTGAAGGCTGTTTAGCGAGGAGGGGAACTTTGCTGTGCAGCCTGGGAAGAGGCTGGCTGCACTCTGTTCTCCAGGATCAAACTCCTCTGCTCCACACAACGATGCCCTCACATCCAAAGGCAGCTGCCACCCCTCAGCACAGCTCATCCCACACCCTGCAGAGGGACACGAGCCCTTGGCTGACAGATCCACGTCCCTGAGACACCACCCATGGATATAATGGATCACCTCATCATTCTTGTCTGCCATTTCAGAGGTCTGCCAGTCTGGGCAAGCTGCTTCCTCCACAAAAACCATCCTTCACCTATTTTAGGAAGTTTTTGTTGCTAAAGACAAGTCCCTATAGAAAGCTGTGAACATAAGGATGTGGAGCACACTCTGCTGACCAACTCTCTGACCCTGGGACCTTCTGCTCATCCTGGCTCCCTCTCCCTCAGGTTGGATAGCAGTGTATTGACTCCCACCTGCAGGAAGAACAGGTGCTGGGTGATTTCCTGGACCAATTCCTCCTCTGCATTCTCAGGATAAAATTTGGCCAGGAAGTGAAAAGTTTTGGGCTCCTCTGTGGGAACATCATGATCCAGGACCTGTGGGATACAAAAGCCATTTGGTTTCTTCAAGGCAAGACCCAGCTCCCTTCTGTTCAGATGAGAACATATTCTGTCAGACACTTTTAGACATCTAGAACAGACCTAAATAGTTCAAACCCTGTAGTTAAAAAAAGAAAACAAACATTTCTGACACTCCTAATGATGCAAGGGAACAAAAAAAGGCAGAAACAAACAGCATGAGAAATGAGACAGTGAAGGTTGATCCTGATCTGCCACGTGCTCGTTGCCTCTCCTGATACTTGTGGAGAGATGCTGGATCCTGCTGCGCCACCACCCGACTCTCTCCTTGTTTTCCTGCACCGAGTTTATTTGAGTGGTGTTTCTTACCACCTTGCTCTGGTACTGCCCAGTTAAATGAGTTAAATGTTGGATTAAAACCTCAGCCTGAGAGGTGAGACACTCAGGCCTCCCTCAGTGTCCATGACCTCCCCTGGTGTCCTGTGGATGTGAACAAGCCACAACTGAAACCTCCAAAACTCTCCCCTCAGATATTTGGGAAGCATTTCGTCCCTTAGCCCCATCTCCTTTTCATTCTGGCTTTCCTCCTCCCAAGCTCTTGGTTTTTCTCAACAACAAAACAAGAGGCAACTCAATTTTCTGCTGATGGTTTAGTGTTCAGGGGCACAAAAGAGAGAGTTTTAGGTTTCATTTGCTTGGCAGTCACCCTGAAGTGCAGCACCCCAGCACGGCTGTGTCCCAAAATGTCTCCAGGACATTCAGTGTGCACAGATGCTGGGATGGGGCATCTCTGCCAGCTTTTCCCAGTCTGACACCCCCAGATACCACAGAGGTGGGATTTAAGTGCATCTGTCCAAGTTCACCCACCACACAATCCTGGACATTCAAAGAAAGACAAAAGGACATTTTCCTTTGTCATCCCACACAACCTCTCAAGGGAAATATCCCTGTCCATGGCAAGTGCTTGGAACAAAATGAGCTTCAGGGTCCCTTCCAACCCAAACCATTCTGGGATTTTGTGAACTTTGGTTCTAACCTTCTTGTCCATTTTGAGCCAAGCCACCGTGTCCTTGATCGTGTACTGCAGCCCAAAGAACCAGGTTTCCCGCAGTCCCAGTGTCCTGCACACCAGATCAAACAGGTCCTTCCCTTTCCACTTCACCTGCCAGAGAGCAAACAGGAAGCAGAGTTATAAAGATGGATTTCAGAACTTCTCTCTGTTCAACCAAATGCACTGTTTTCACCTCTCAAGGTCAACTTGAAACCCCCTGCAAATGCATCTGGTACAGACATGAAAACACCCTAACGAGGCACACATTATCTCCTTCCATCTGATCTCATCTGCAGAACACCAGCTCCTCCCTCAGTAGGAAACTGAAATGCGATTTCCCCCTTTTCCAAAAAATGACACCGTACAGCCCCCGTTTCTTGCCCTGGGTTCATTTAGGCTCTTGTTGAGCTCAGGTTTAGGCTCCTGACATGTTTAGGTTCCTGCCTGTTGCCAGCAGGGAATAAAAATCCCTTTGAACTGCCCCATGGTGGCTTTAATGTGTCTCCCTACAGGCCCAGGAAGCCCTGCACAAGCACCACTATGAGCACCAGGGGTTCAGACAGAGAAGCCACAAAATCAGCAGTGACACAATCCCTGCATGGAGTGAGTGCATCCAGAGCCACCGACCCTGCAAGGATAAAATGGAAAAAAGAGCTCCAAAATCCCCATAATTACCACTGAAGTCAGCGGTTCTCTGGGAGCACATTTTTATAGAGTTAAACTGCATTTTCTGCTGAAAATGTTGGTGACAGAAGCAGCCAAGGAGCAGAGAAAATTGGTTGCTCAAGGACCATGCCCTTGTAGCAACCCTGCAGCTGCATCCACGATGCTACTGAAGTTTGCTGGTAAAACCGGGAGGTGTTGGGAGGCAGAGAGGTGAAGAGGGACATAAACCACATGAATCTAATATGCCAAAGCCACTTTGGTCTTCCATCTGCACGCTGAAAACAATTGCTGGACCGAGACATATGGTCATTACTCCAAAGCCCTTGGGCAAACAGATCCGGCGCACTCTCTTGTCACTACAACTCAATCCTGGTGCCACCTGGACACATCAATATTACACCGGTCTGCTCCCGCTGTCACCCACTGCCGCCTTGTGGGCACAGCCAGGCCCAGCTCAGCCGAGCTCTGCCGTTCAGTGATGTCTCCCTCACTGCTCTCCCCCTTCCCGGAGAGCACAGACACTGCCAGTCCCGGAATAGGACAAAGCCGCCGCCACCCTCCCAAAAACACCACCCCCGGACTGCTCGCCGCGATTCGGATCGGGCGCTGTCAACACCTCGGGGTCAAAACGCCAGGAGCAGCAAGTTTGGCAGTGCTGTAATTATAACCCCCCTAATTTCACACATTTCACTATCCTCCAGCCCCCGGGATGGGCTCCAGCTCGACACAGGATGGCTCAGACTGCAGAAGATCTTTCCCTGACTATGATTTTAAGTGGGAGGTTAATTCGAGGGCTCAGACAAAACAGAGTGAGGCCCATTAAAAGAGCTATTTGGTACCATTTTTGCAGGCACATAAAAGCAGGCTGCCAGCAAAAGGCTATTTATTCACGAAACTGCTTTGTATAAAGCATTATGGGCTGTTTTTCCTTCTCTAAGACCGTATTTCAGTCTCAGCACAGCAGTGCCTGCACCAAACCTTCCCAGGACAGGGCCTGCCTTGCTGCTGACAGCAGCACCAGGACACGGCTCCACATCCGATGGGATCAGTGTGTTAAACCTGGAATTTCCACTGGCTACGACTCCTCACTGAACCACCACATACACCCAAACTGTGCCCAAGAGCTGACAGGACCCAAAGGTTTCTTCTCAAAACACAAACCACCAGTCTGTTTTGAAGAGCAGCACTGCGGACTAAAGCAGGAGCTTTGTGCAGTTTTAACTTGGTGGTGGGAATTTGGAATAGTTTGGGTGGGAAGGGACCTTAAAGACCACCCAGTACCACCCCCCACCATGGGCAGGGGCACCTTCCACTATCCCAGGCTGCTCCAAGCCCTGTCCAGCCTTGTCTCGGACACTTCCAGGGACCCAGGGGCAGCCACACCTTCTCTGGGCAACCCATGCCAGGGTCTCACAGCTGTATTTCTTCCTGACACCTAACCTAAATCTCTCCCCTTTTAGTTTAAAACCATTACCCATTCCCCTATCACTATGTGCCTGCATTAAAAACTCTCTCTCCTTTTTTTACAAGCCGCTCTTTAAGGGACTGTATTTTAAGCGAGGCTTCTGCTGCTGCTGCATTTTACACCAGCGCTTTGTCACCACACGTTTCTGTGGTGGCAGGAATAGACATTCAACATTCTTGCACAATGCTGAAGACTCCAGCCATAACAGAGCACATATCCCCCCCAGCTGTGCTGAATTACCTTCATTAAATATATCAGTGCTCAGCAGCCACCTTTATTCCAACAGACATGATTTCCCTCCACACCTCAGTACTTAAAATAACGATCTGCATTCAAGTGGCATCTTTTGACAGCTGAACTCCAACTGCTTTACAGAGATCCAGGACCTCAGCCCCTCCTCACCCATAATTTACAGGCTTTGTATCATTAACTGCCACATTCTGTGGTTGTAAACTACTAGATAAAAAGCCCCTCCAAGGTATGAGGGGACAGACAGAGCTGCTGTGCAGAGAGCCTGGGGGACAGCCAGGAGAGGCTGGCCATTCCCATCCATACTGCGTCCCTCACGCCATTCCCTGCTAGGCACTCAAGTGACACCTGAAGCATGAAGATGGTTTTACAGCCATTCTGAGCTCCTGAAAACAAAACTAAGGAGCTCAGAGCAGAAAAAAAAACTTCTCAGCCATATGCTGGGGTATTGTAAATGCAGGCGAACCCAATGGGAAGAAATGACAATGTCTGATTCAATTCAGAAGGCTGAATTATTTCTTTATTATAACTATGCTAAAATACATTAATATGCTATATAAAAGGAGGATACTAAAACTACATACTACTTTCTCTGACTCTAACTCCAATACAACTCGTGACCCTCTCTTGATAGTCCAGCCCCAGGTGGGTTGGATTGGCCATCAGGCTCAAACAATCCTCACCAGAATACAACCAAACAATCACTCCAGGTAAACAATTCTCCAAACACATTCCACATGTGAAAACAAGAAGCAGAAATAGAAATTGTTTTCTCTTTCATTTCTCTCCGTGCACCTCTATGAAAAATCCTGAGAGGGAGAGAAATGTGCTTGCCACACTGGGGTGGCTGGCAGGATGCTGTAACAAAGCTCCATCTCCCAGCAAAAAGCTACATCATGATAACCTCAATGTGACCCTCAGGACAGAGCGGGATGTGTCACTCCAGCATCCTCCCTGTGCGGCAGGCAGCACCTCGGACATTTGCAGCTCCTTCCCCGTTAGCAGGATCACAGCACGGGTGGTGCAGGGATGCAGGAGTGGCGAAGGGACACGGCAATGAGGCGCGTTATAAACAGGCTGTTACTCCACCGAGCTGTTTGTGTTCTTTACTAAGTACAGAGCGGTTACAATCTATCAGCAAAGCATTCGAAATGAACAGCACTAAACGCTGAAAACTCTCCAGCCAGTGGCTAGAACTGAGCATTTCCAGCCCAGATTATTGGCATCATCTTTTTCTCTGGCGGAGACGGCGCATTTGGCATCTATTAACAGGGTTTGCATTATTTATTAACCTGCACTGGGAGTCATTTCCAACTCGCAGGCAACTGCGATTTATTTCGGAGCATAACCTCTCTGTCAAGTTTCACAACTGCTCCTCAGCTCCCCACTTGATAAAGCAGCTCCAAAAACGAGCAGAAGGGTTGTCTGGTCCTCTCATCAGGGGTGACAAGGAGGGAGGGCAAGCCAGGGAATGGAGCTGTGTCGGGAAATTTAGGTGGAGATCAGGAAAGGCTCTTCCCCCAGAGGTGGTGGCACTGCCCAGGGAATGGGCACGGCCCCGAGGCTGCCAGAGCTCCAGGGTGGGGTTGGTGGGGGTCTGGGCAGGGACAGGAGTGGGAGTGGATGATCCAGTGGGTCCCTTCCAGCTCAGGATATTCCACAATTATAAAAAACGGGCAGCAAGGGCCAAGGGGGTGCAATCGTCCTGCATGGGCAGGGTTGAGTGAGGAGTCTACACAGAAAACATCACCAGGCTGATGCTTTTCTTCCAACAATGTCAGATGTGGTAAAGGGGAGGCAAGAGGGCTGGGTTTAATTTAATATTCAGGTTCATCACACAAGAGGCTCTCCTGGGACAACAGGGGGGTGCCCAAACTCCAGGGGACAGAACACGGCTCTGCTCAGGGGGTACAGATGAAGATCTCACCTTCTCCTCATCACAAACACAAACCCCTGGAGCTTCAGCTCTTCCTGTGATCAGGATGGGCAATAAGGGCACAAAAAATTGAGCAGAGGACACCAAGGCTCAGCTGCTTCCCAGGGAAACCCAGAGCAGCGGTCCCTGCACACCCCACCCACGGGACAAGGTTAAGGCACGACCATGCAGAAATTACTCACGTTTACGGATTATTTTACTGCACCAATTTACCCGTAAATAACACAGAAAATGGCTTTTTGCTTTGCAGATGATTTTATTAAGTGTTAGCTCTATGCTGGGGATGCAAAGAGAGGCAAGAGCTCCTGCTGTGACACAACAGCCAGAGGACTGCTGGGAAAAGGGGACCAAGCCCAGGAAAAAGTGCTCAGAGTGAAGTTATTCCTGTTTAGAATCAGATTTTAACGAGAGAACACGACACCACTGAAACAGGGATGGAGAGGGCAGAAGGGAGAGAGCTGGGCCTGAGCAGAGCATCCTCCACTAACCACCTGGGAATGAGGAAATGGATGTAGGCTGTAGCTATTCCAAACCCCCATCCCACAGGAGATGCCCAAGCCACCCAGCCGCAACAGTTTACAACTGAAATGGAGATGATTTTGAGACTGCAGACCACACTTATTTCTCCTTCTGGACCTGAATTATAACCACGGTGCCACAGACAACCATTTATTTAGATTTAAAGCCCATTTGGAGCAAACAGGGAATCAAAAATGTAATATTCGTCAATTTTGTTTTAAATAAAGTGATGTCAAATATTTTCAATTGCCACTTACTGAGTCACAGGGCTGGGCT